ACCGTGAACACAAACGACAATACATAAACAACTGGTCGGATTACAATATCGACATATGAGTGATCCGCACTGCAATCAATGAACACTTTGACAGCGTATTTGTAACGCACAGGCTGGTTGAAGTCCAATGGGCACAGTGCCCACTTAATGCGTCGATGCGCTACTGGCGTCACTAATATATTGTATTGCTAATAGAACGTCAAAAACAAAAGTTGCCCTATGAGCTGGACCCTGCTTACGGGACTCGGCAAAGCAGGTATGAGCTGGACCCTGCTTACGGGAAACGGCAGAGCAGGTATGAGCTGGACCCTGCTTACGGGAAACGGCAGAGCAGGTATCAGCTGGACCCTGCTTACGGGAAACGGCAGAGCAGGTGTGAGCTGGACCCTGCTTACGGGAAACGGCAGAGCAGGTATGAGCTGGACCCTGCTTACGGGAAACGGCAGAGCAGGTATCAGCTGGACCCTGCTTACGGGAAACGGCAGAGCAGGTGTGAGCTGGACCCTGCTTACGGGAATCAGGAGAGCAGGTATGAGCTGGACCCTACTTACGGGAAACAGCAGAGCAGGTATGAGCTGGACCCTGCTGACGGGAATTGGCAGAGCATGCGGTGTCCATCCACTGGACGTGCCTTCTTCAACTGTGCCGGAGGGGCTCGAAGGGCCGAGTTTGCTGTGATAATGACGTCACACGCGACCAAGCGCAGGTTATCCACCAAACACGCCGGACCGCTAGGAGAACCGCCATGCCCTGGGGCTACTGCCGGCAGCACGGCTGGTCTGAGCAAGAGGTCAGCAGTTCGTAGCTTCATGGTCTGCTCTTTTGATACATCATTTAGGTATTTCAAGTTATGCTCTGAATCATTGACGGTCTGTGGAATTTCAATAGTAATACTCTTTCCTTTCACGTACTTCCCCAAGCCAGCCGTTCTATTCTGATGGTCTGACCGGCAATCCAACCTTGGTATTTATAACGCGCTGAATTTTTTCGTACTGACGTATTCGCTGCAAAGTTCAACCGACCGTTTCTGTGGCTCGACCAATTTATTGACCAGATATCCTGGCAGCAAGGTTGTAAGGGTCTCGCTAGACGAATGTCGCTTATGTTTACCGACAAAGCTCCAAAGCCGCGTCGTTAATTGTCACATGACTGCGGCTCTTCAATGCGCAGGTGTTTGCCACATCGATCAGGGGTGTTTGCCACATCGATCAGTGGTGTTTCCCGAAAGATGTTTGCGTGACCTTGACATCCGAGGTATTACTTCCGGGGAACGGAGCCTGATCATGGGTTCTATGACCTGCCGCTGATGCAAGAATACATTTTCTTATTTTCCACTTTGCGCGCCACCCGTGCGGGACCGGTGGGGCTTCCCCAGCGGAGCGTGGGACGGCGAGCAAGCCAGCCATGGCCGGGAATTCCCCCGCCTAGCCAAACACGACCATTAGGCCGAGCGGGGCCTGAGAGCTGGACGCGAACCCGCCCGACGCTCCAGCCGATCGGCTCACATCGTCAAAGCGACGCCAGGTGTCCCCCCCCCCCCCCGAACGGCCATGCGGCGGCCCCATCTGACAAAATTGTTCATCGTGCCAAGATACATAGAGGCGAGAGCCAAGCGACACGCGACGCAATATGCGCACAGGAATGCGCAAATAACATGCTGTGAGGATGCTTGTGACTTCGCCCCTGGAGCGCCGCGGTCGCCCCAGCTGGCATCAGAAGCGCCACGCCACGGGGAAACTGGGCTCTAGGGGGACGCCCAGGGCACGCCCGGGGCGAAAGCGGGCGGACTTCGCATCGTCGCCAGCGACGCCACGCCCGAGATCTGGCCCGGGGGCTCGTCGGGGGCCGGACTTCTGAGGCGGCGCAGGCCGTGACGCGTCACGTGGCTCGTCTATGTCGTAGTGATCTTGTAAATGCAGGTAGCAGTCTGCGTTTTAGATGGTTTAGCGTGGAAGCGAGGCGTGAGTGATTCGGTCGGGCGGCGACAGGACACTTACGCCCGGCGTGGGTGGGCATGGTGACCGAGGCCTTTAACACGCGCTTCAGCGCGACGGGTCGCCCGTTAGCCCGTGTCGAGGCTATCCTGATGTCGTTTGCCGTTGGAAGCGGCCCCGAGGAGGCGCAGCGGGTCGTCATGGCCCTCGTCTTTCTCGTATCGCGGTCAGGCGCGGCGTACAGGTTTCCCTTCTGCTGTGGTGTTAATCTGTTGGCTAGCTGGACGGGTTGACCTTTCTCGTTCTCTTAATTTGTTTTCCGATTGCTCGGGGCGGCGGGACCCTTGCCGAACCCTGTCCAGCATACCCGCAAGGATTCATCATGCGCACGTTGCCTTTGCTTTATCGCTGGCCCGAACCGATTTATTAACTGATTTGCTTGGTATTCGTGCGCGTGTCATTTGTTTTTTGTTTGCTTGTTATTTTACCTTAATGGTTAGTTGCCGTGTTTAAGCAGAACATTTTGCTTTGGTACCGATGCTGTCAAATTCCGCCGGGCTGTCAGACTTCCTTCGCGCACGCAGTATGCCATTCCTTTTAACAAGGATCGAGTCACACAGGAATCGTACCAAAGACTGATAGGCGTGGAACGCGCCGAACCGCAGTCCTGCTTTTACGCAGGTATATGTTTGTGGGCAGCGTCACGCAAGGCACGGTTTCGCTTCTTTTTTACTAGGAGACGGCTGACTCGTTTTATTGTGCACGGCGGTAGCGGGATATATCGGTTGACGTCTCGGCCTTGGGAGAGAATGGGACACAGACTGCTCTCTTCCGACGTGGCGTACGCCAGATCTTATGAGCGCTTGGTGGCGGGATGTTCGGGACGGATAGAGATCCCGTTATCGGCGCTCATAGGAAGGGCGACGAGGAACCAGGTCGCCGGACAGGCCGGTCAGGCTGAGTCTGCAGAGCGCGCCGGCTGAGGAGACCGTAAGGCGTGAACGCGGGTCACGCCGGGCGCTCGTCGTCTGCCAAGGGGCTCCACCGTCCCGTCGGGCGCGCTGTCTACCCCCAGGCCTCTGAGGGACGCGCCGCGGGGCGATGCCTTGCAAAGCTCGCTCCGGCAGGCGGGAGGCGAGGGCGCAGAAGAACCGGAGGCAACGTCTCCGTGCTGGACGAGGCGATGCCTTAGGCGCGTGCACGGCGGCAGAAGGCTGCAAGCGGCGGGCGTGGCCGAGTGAATGGTGCGCCGCCCATCGTGGACGGAACGCGGGGAGCGTCGTCCGAACAGGGAGCCGTTACCCTGGAGGTCAGGCGGGGGAGCGAGTCGCCGTCCAGCCTCGGACATCTGATGTCGGTCCAGCAGCTGCGTCGGTGCCCAGCTGACAAAATAATATGATATATATTTTAAACAGGGCTTATACGTGGCTTTATTGAAGGTTCGCAATGTGATAAACAAACTTTACTCAACTTAACGAGGACCCACGCAGACGAGCCAATTATAATGCCAAGGCGCTGGAAAAAGGGGGGAGGGGCCATCCGTGTGCAAGCCAATGATAAGTAGGGTGACGTGGGTGCCAGCGTATGCGCATGCTTGAAGCGAGTGTGATGGGCGCCGAGTGCGTGGAGTCTGCGTGGATTAGTTAAGGCCGGGCGGGGGCTCCCAGGGTTGTTATCCAGCGGGCCTCTGCCGGTGTAATTCGTCGGTGCGTGGGATCCTCGCCAGTTGGGCGTGTTATCAGTGCATCCAGTTCCGGTTTTGCCCCGTTTAGATATTATGAGCGTTCAATACTAAATATAGTTGTAATGTCATCAAATATTAAATATCATCACATACTATCATTGGTGGAGGTGGGGTACTGTGGTTAAGGGCGCACAGCCATGTGCAGAGAGACAGCCGTTAATGGTCCGAGACAGCCGCCCGACCGGACCCACCATCGCGCCAATGCCCCGGTCACCCGCTTCATCCTAGCTCTGTGGCTCACATGAGTGTGTGTTGATGTCAGGTGTGCCGGAGTCACAACGTGCCGAGCCGTGTGTCAACACCATCTGGCTCGTGTGTTGACCAATAGGCTCCTCATTATGAACTCGCTCTTGAGGGGAGGCGCGGTAGCGGTAGCCGGCGACACACAGCATCCGGCGGCGGCCAGCCAGCAGCGCAACGCACGCCGCCCACCGCAGAACCCCCCCCCCCCCCCACGCACACATACTGAGCACAAAGATCGAATCAAATTTCCGAGCAGAGCAAAGGTACGACTTGGCAAGCGCTAGTGCCCAGTGCTGGCCACCGAGGTCAGGCACTGTCCTTGCTGAGCGGCAATATCCGGCATGTCAGGGCTGACAGCGCCCCGACCGTTCGCTGTCTGAGATGGCACCCGATCATGTCCCAGTGCAGCCGTCCGAACGTACCCGGCCGGTCACTTGGCATTGCCACTTCCCAGCGATTGGGGAGGGCTGGGTACGCTCAGTACATATTGCGCAACAGTCCGAAATTGATGCATACCCGATTGCGAAACATGCCCGATGTCTGGTGTTTGAATTGTCAAAGTCGTCTTGCACTATGGAGGGAGTGTCGAGAACAGCAGTTGTGCAATGAGGTTGGTGCTGAGGAAGGGCGTGTTGAGAGGCAAGAGAACGATAGCGCAAGAGAGCAACAGTCGTATTGATGGCGCGTCTTAAGAACACCGGCATCATCAAAAGTCAAAAACCGTCGCATATATGTAAAGTCATGAGCTTATCATGCTTGACAACCGTTGCTTGTACGCGATGATATTTAATTGGAAACGAGCAATGTTCGCAGTTCTTTTCGATTTCTTGATATCTCGACACATCTGGTCAGCATAAACAAAGTTTGATTGTCTGACCGCTGGCTCGATGTCCCGTGTTGGCGGCCCCATCAGCTATACTAGAGACCGGGTACCAAAACTACCTGGTGCATCCGAACAGAAACTACACCTGCCTCGCCACAATTCAGCTGATTCATTTCGTCTTGCCATCTTAAATGTCCACCAAGCACCGGTTTGGCCAGCTGCTATATAACTGCTACTAAACGCGGACAAATGAACGTTCATGCAGGCACGTTTATTTCTTTTCGAATAAAATAGCGCAATCAGTACAGACGTTGGTCACCAGTTAGTCAAGATGCGTGATTTTCGCACAGCTAAAACAGTCATACCTGATATTCCCACCACAAAGGCTGATCCGATAACTGGCACATCCATCTACAGCACAGCACACAGCGCAGTTCAGGTCAGCACCAGATGGAGCTGGTACTGCCATCGCACACGAAGAAAATGCGTCCCTCAACGCCAGTGATAACAGGCGACATCCTCTTCACTTGATTGACGAAGACGTCCACATCTGTCAGTCCTGGTAACGCAGCGAGCGGGAGAGAGAGAACAGGGCTGTCAGCATCAGGGTCATGGTATTCGGCGGTTATGCCGCGGTGCGCTAGCTGCAATGCGACAAAAGTAAATGCCAGGTCTGATCGAAATTGCGCCGCAGTTCGTGCCTTTGCGGGGATCCCATGTCTGACACGGCCGAGATGCTAACCGGCAGAAACATTTTGGTAACAACGTCAGTGACTGAACAGTAGTTTCAGGAAAGATTTCATGCGTACTAAAAGCTGTCGCCATATGTTTTATGAGGAAATTAGGGTGTGTACGTTTTGTGTGTTCGATGTGCTTATCATTTCGTACATAGGCGGAACAGAAAGTACCGATTGTCTTGTGGGAAGACAACTGCGTTTGATCCCGCTGCATTGTTCTCAATGATGAATGATCAGGCCCATGCTATGAATCTATTACATCAAACCTCGTATACTTTATGATTTATATCCGGATAGACGGCGTTGGAACCGGTGAACTGTGATTTATGATAACATATTTGGCCTGCTGACTCCATCCTTACGTAATTTGCACTATCCAAGTCACCAAACAGAGAAATTCCACTTCGTAAACGATTTAATCCGCGTCAGCAGCGTCCTATGCCTGGCTCACCGGTGCGCAAATGATAGAGCTTCTCCTTGTCAAACATGTCGTAGCCGTCGCCTCCACCGGCCAGGAAACCTGGCATAGCAACGCGGTACTGCCGGCTGCGTAGCACCGGCTCCAGCTTCGGCACCGAACACTGCGAGCAGGCGATCTCCAGCCGCTGGACACGTGATCCCAACGGCTTGCTGAGGTCGTAGAGCACGCGCAGACCTGGGCGGACGTGGAATCGCTGGGGTCAGTGTCCCAGGCACTGACGACCAGGCAACGGATGCACAGTTGTGACCCAGCACAGTTCGTCATGCGCTAGGATTTCAGCAATGGATGGAAATGGGATTGGATTTCAGGCTGGTAGTGAGCAGACCCACCTGAGAACTCGCGAAAATGCTGACTTAGCTCAGCAGCAACTAAAGGAATGCATATGGTGGAAAAAGTGTTAGCGGTTTAGTCATACTCCATTAATCGCCTCGTCTGAAACGTTGCGAAAGTTTGTAAACAAAACGCACCAACAAGACTTCCGTAATGAGGAGCAAAATATGTGGCGAAAACATACCATCGGCTTCAGCATTTTCTATAAGAAATATTCCTTTGGTGCAAACTGCCTCGCAAATAAATACAACACATTACTGCAAATCCTTTCCTTCTTAATGGTTGATTTTAAGTGTCCATGCATAGATGTTAGTGTTACCTGTTTAACTGCGTACGGTTGATGTCCATTAAAAGCGATTTCCAAGCGTGGCCACATTTCGTTTCATGGTGATCAAACCGGCCAGATGGCCTCGTAAGTCCACATTACTCAGATGTGCATCGTCTACAAGTGAGGATCGCCTTTCATGAACTACCGCTTAACTAGCGCCATAACTACTTCCTACCACTCGCCACATATCATAATTTTACTACAGGTTGCCTGGCCGCAGTCTTCACCGGCATACTGGATCGGAATGTGGTGCTGTAAGTTCCAAGTTACTATGCTTAATGCCCCTCAATATAGTAGGAGGTACTGGGTAAACGATGTTATAGTGTCAAACGCAGATGATATTGGCGGTTCTCAATATACTGAGCTGTGCTCATCCTCAAGAGTAATCCCCTTCAGGATGAGGGCAGCTCGAAATAACATGTGTCGTATTATAATCGTCGTTCAACAGCATAATGTCGTTTAGGCCTTAGCTCTCGGTGTGATGAAGGTCGTTAACTCTGCATACGAGCTTTGAACTCGTCATGCCAGAAACCGAGGGCTGAAGGCCTTTCTTACATCAAGGACTGTGGTGTATCATCTCACCGGAGATCTGTAGGAAGCCGCCCTTGATCTCGTCGTGAGCGGACGCGGAGTGCTCGAACGCCTTCCAGAGCGTGTCTCCTGTCACCAGCAGCACGTCCAGCATGTTGCCGAAAGGCTGCACAGCCTTGATCTGAGCTTCGCTGACGTTGCCCTTGCGGATCGACTGCCGAATGCCGCCGCCCTGGCATATCGCCGCTGTCACCTGCAGACGCGCAGTCGGAAAATGACGTCATTGGTCCCGCTATTCGAAACAGGGTTGGGGTTTGCTGCACACGCTGAGGCAGAACAACCGGAGTGGCAATTGCCTGTGGTTGTAGTGTTTTATTTTTCAGACCTTTTTTGCTTCTGTGCATTTCTTGAGCATTTGGTGCATTAACACGATTTTTCTGGCACCCTTGACCACATCTCAAATTGACTCGTGTTAGTGCAACATGTTTGAATAATAGGTAAGTGGCGCAAAACTATTTCTATCAACTGTCATAGTTCTGACCGGCTGATGTTTCGCCAGTCCCTACCACAAAGGTTATATGAGATTGTGACACCAATAGGCATAAATGTTACGGGTGTCGCAAAGTAACATTAAATTTAGTACCACAGGGAGGCTATCAAATTACAATTTACCTTAGCTGCAATCCCACCTCACCTCAGCTCAGCCTCTCACTTAAGGTCGTGGTTCCACATCACCTCGCCCTATCTACTCTCCCTAGATTGAGATCCCGCCTCACTTTGCTCCAACCGCTCTCATAGGGCTGCAGTACAGCCCTAAGCATGCCGTCGGTGATGAGGTTGCCGATGTTGCACTCCTGCTGTCTGCAGTCGGCCCGGTCCCCAGACAGGTGCACCAGGCTGGTAGCGATCACCTTGGCCTCCTCCGCGTGAAGCTGGCACAAATTCCGCCACGTCAAATGACTTTCAGAGTCTCAACCCCAAAGCTGACCAGGCGACATAATCCCTATAGCAGGAACCGCATCACTCACATTACGCCTACACTACCTGAATGTCAGAGTGTACGCTATGCGTGCGGACAAGAGCTTATCCTCCTCGGTCCGCACCTCTGCGCCTTTCAGGCACCAGCGCTGTGCACTCATTACACAATGTGCTATATCATGATAATTTTTCACCATCCAAGGACGATGGTGGTATTTGGGACTGAAGATGGAAAAGGAGTGACGCGACATGCCACGACTTACATAGTACCTCCACACGCAAAACCGCACCCACCAAGTCCCTGTACTTTTGCAGGGCTTCCATGGCCTCCTGGTCCTCCGGCCCGTCCAGGACCACCGGCTGGCCTGACCACGACTGCACTTCGCCGTCACCGTCAAACGTCACGTTCAGCACGCCCAGGTACTTGCCGTACTGGTACGCTTGCACGACCAGCACGGTACGGCCAGAGGGCTGCAGCACCACCGTCGGGTAGGGGCCCTCCACGGGGTTGCCGTGGGGGGCTTCGCCTGCGATAGGTGCTCAGCTCAGACCGCATGGCTTGGATGGAACACAAGCGTTGCAACGACGCTGAGCGACGATGAGAAAAAAAGGATGAAGAAAGAAGATACAAAGCACCTACATGGTTTAGGTGGAACATAGGCGTCACGGCGGGGCTGAACGATAATTAGAAAAGAAGCCAACGATGTATATATGTATATATATATATATATATATATATAGATATAGATATATATTCTCATTTTCGTCCGTACCTGAGTAGAGCAGGGAGTGCGAGTGCCCTCCGACGATGACGTCGATGCCGTCAATTTTCTCCGCCATCTCCTTCTCCCGGATGTAGCCAGAGTGGCCGGCAGCTATGATGATCTGGGCACCCTGCTTCTGCAGCCGCAAAGCTTCTGCCTGCAGCGCTTCAATCTCGTCCACAAACCGAATTCCGCGAGCGACGCTCGCTAGCTCCTGGTGACAGATTCATCGGCCAGCCCGGGTCAGGTCAAAACACCGATTTTGCCGGGTCTTGGACAAAACTTGCTGAAGAAGCGCACGTGCAACCGGATGCAGAGCTCCGTTCAGCTCGATGGCTCAGTTGCGATCGTACCCGAGCAGATACCTTACCCTCGCTGCGCTGAGGAGAGGGCGGAGAGGATTAATATATTACGTCCTCTGGCATGTGAATGACCTGACTTTAACAGCCTACGCTTGGTACGCAAAAGCTAAGGACAGGAAACAAAGTTTGCCTTTGCGGAAATCTAGCCCCGTCGTACGAAATGTGAGTAATGGTAAGGGATCTTATCGGGATGGTTGTTTCTGAAATTCTTAAACAAGAATGCTTTCTACCGTAGCAGGTCGTAAAAATGCAGCCAAGGTGATTGCCCATTATGTGCGGAGAAGTTATATTATTGTTTGCGACATTGTACTATAAAGTGCTCCAAAAATGATAGTTCGTACGATACTCATGATTCAGCGGACATCCGTCAGCTGCAACGAAAGCATAGATAAGCTGTCAGCAGTAAATACCGCACCTGTGTGGAATTAGGTAAGGAAATCTTTGCAGGTATATAGAAGGTAGTGCTTGGTGTTTCACTGCTGGAAAAGACTAGCCTCCGTTGAATACTGTAGAGGAAGCGCCTGCAAGCTCCACGAGCCTGGGTAACCGGTTGAATACCCTTCGCTCGGGTGAGGGTAGGGGTGGGTGGGGGTGGGGGCAATATACTCCCCGCCCCCCCCCCCCTCCCAGCCAAGATCTAGAAAACTGGGAGAGCTAGAGAACTGGATTCACAGAGCGCATTGACCTGTATGTGGGCTCACCTGTGTCAAAATTTGAGGCCCATGGGTCATGACCTTCGTGTCAAAGTTCAAACAAGATCAAACTCCAGCTTGGTGTCCGAAGTCCCCCAGACCTCCTCACGCAACCTTCTGGAGCGCCTAGATATATGTTCTAAGTAAGAGGTCACTGGTTTTCCTTTAAGGTCAGTTCTCTTATGACCTTTCGAAGTAACGACGACAAAAAACCTACCAGAATGCCTTTATTTTGTCATTTGAATAAGCGTCAAGGATTTCACTGGGCGGTATTGTACTGAAACAGCAAATATTCACCCGGGTCATTTAAGGCCAGTAACCTACTGCGACCTTAAAGAAACCAACGGAACATGTGTGTTGCGGTCCCTGTCATCAGAAAATTCGAAATGAGCACCAGAAACCCCCTCATGCAGCACGCTCTCGACTTAAAAGCATGTTGGTATAAACCCCGGTCTGACCCTCATACTTTTATCATACTTTCATACCCTAGGTCGATGGAATTTGTTGTAGTTCTAAATTCGATTAGGTTATTGCCTACGACGCTACCCCAGAGGTATATGGCTCCGTCTAACACTCCGTTGTCTGGTCAGGTTCAGCGATTCCATAAAAATTTCCTTCGCTGACAGCCATGGCCTGGATTTCACCTACCAAAGGCCGGCGACCTTACACGGTACATCTCATTTCCATGCTAATGCACTACTCAATTGCCTACAGGGGTGCAAAAACTGGTGCGGCTACGCCAGTTGTTCGAAAATCATTCTGGAAAAGCCCTCGAGGGCTCGGGGCTCCCGCCCGGGCGCATGTTAACGAACACTGACATCGAATCGTACTGATATCGACAGATGTTAAACGCAACAGGGTGTTAGAAAATGTGGACCGTATTTGAGCTGCAAACGTCCGCTTAGCCCGATGGAAAGGTGGCTGATACTGAACGTAGAGTAGACGATAAAGTGACGATAGTAGACGATAAAGTGACGATCAAGACCACAACGACGGGGACAGAGCTGGACAGAATGAAGAGGCAGGGAGACTCACAAACTTTCCGCCATAGGCTTTGTGATGGCTTACGGCTAAAAACTCGTCACCTAAAGCTTCCTCAATTTGGTGTGGGGCGAGGCCACGATAAAGTAGGGGCACAGCGGTTAAAGGCGAGTTAGTGCGACGCAATGGCGCGGTAAAAAGATACTAATAGAAATTACATGTACCTCCACGCACCGGTGCGCTGCTGCTGTTACTGTTATTGTTACCCAGCTGTTTCCAATCTATCTTTTTCGCCCTCCCCCACGTGAACTACCGCTGCTAGTTCGTGAGTCTCTATGTTACTTAATTCGCTTCGAATTTAGTCCTCATTGTCGTCACGTCATCTTCGCTTTACCATCTGGCTGCGTCCAGGGCAAGCATGCATCATCTCTCCATCGTGCTGGATGGTCACCTTGAAGGTAAATAATCGAGATGCCCTACTGCCAGGAGCCTTTCTGTGAATTTAGAAAGGCCGTAAATTTGAATGTGTACAATCATTTACACCCATCAGTAAATTTTGTTTGTAAGGTATTCTTGCTCCATTGCCAAACGTTTCCAGTTATTGACATTGGTCAAGTAGTTGCAGGTCACTATTTACGGATATAAAAAGTTTGTTCAGACCTTTTATTATTATGACCATCGTTCGTAGGTAACAGGTCACGCAGTTCTTTGCAATATTCAATACAATTCCTTAAGAAACGCGGCGGGCTATCATCAAATCTGACTTTTGGCGCAGACAATTTGGTCATCTAATATTTTTCTCCTCATATGTCGTTATGTTTCGACACCACTACAAGCCAATATCAGCTGTTCAAGTAGCTTGGGAAGCAGCGAATATACGAGTTCTAAAGATAATACAACACAGGCTGGACGTGCGTCAGGATCTCGGCCCCCCGGGATCGCAGCAAACAGCATAAACGCCGTCTGACAGAACGGAGACCTGCTATCAGTGTGGCCAAATTGTATGTTGCTGCTTGCAGTGCGTATTGCACTGCGCTTTGCACACTAGCACCCACCATAGATAGTTGGTTGTAGACACTTTGCAATGATCAACGTCAAATTTCGACCACAAAAAACGGATGCAGACTCTCCAATGTAAACTGCGGTTGCCTCGTATCCTCCACAAATCACTCAACACCTCGCACTGTTACTCCTATGTGAATACTAGCAATCGACCGGGATACCAAAAGGGATTGCCCGGAGCGTTCAATGCAATGAGAGCTCCCTCGCCCAAAGAGATAGGAAAATATCCTTGTTTAGGCCGTACGGATGTTGCATTCAAAGGCAAGCACAGAGGCCCAAACTGGTGTCACTTCCAGTCGCCAGAGTATTCAGGTTACACACACGCACACGCACACGCACACGCACACACACACACACACACACACACACACACACACACACACACACACACACACACACACACACACACACACACACACACACACACACACACACACACACACACACACACACACACACACACACACACACACACACACACACACACACACACCTATATATATATATATATATATATATATATATATATATATATATATATATATATGTGTCAGAGAGCTGCAAGTCCGTCGATTCCTCTCGACATACCGGCGTTTCGACGGTGGTGAAGCCCATGATGCCGACCATATGGTCGCCGATTTGCCGGATGATGCTGGAGCGGCACAGGGCCGTGATGGGAGAGGCGTGAGGTCCGAAGTCGATGTTGGTGCACACCAGTGGATGCGACACGTTGTCCATGTAAGGCAGCAGGCCGGTCAGGCCGTCGTCAAACTCGTGGTTGCCCAGAGCCTGTAGATATGACTTCGGTCAGGACACGGGCGAACAGTTGTGATTTATTGTCCGTGCTATGGATGGACTGTGAATCGATTTCTCGGGTTTGCTCTTAAGCGGGTGCATATCTTATGGAAAATATTTTGCTTCAGTTTTGTTCAAGATGTACTAAATTGTGTAAAGTATGTTTTATCCTTGTTCTCAAGACCTCTTATCACGAGTACGAGCATTACATCGAGGTCACAGTCCTCAAGTCTAGAGAAATAACGTCACCTAGACCCCAAATCCAATTCGCTCCCGGAATTTTCGAGCTTAGCTTATTGGCTTTGCAAGAGTTTGTTGTTGTTTTTTGGACTTTTAAAGTTGCCTTTATCGGAGCCGAAACGTCGAGGGCTCGCGTACATTACGAGTCCCTGCACTTTACATCCGGAGGGGCCTGACCCCACAGGCAGTGTGTCAAAAGTAAAGATTTTGGATGGAAATGTTTGAGAACTTTTTTCAACACGCAAAATGTCGTCTGAAAAAATAAAATCAACGAACAAATTGATTAAGCACATGCTAGAAAAGACAAAATATTGGACACCTGTCACCAAAGATGTTGGATTTTCAGGTATAGATAACGTATGTTGTCCCGGTATTCAATTCATCAGCACATATAATTCCTCGTTTATTTGATTTGGGGATTTCGGCGAAGACTTCAGTCCTACAGGGCACGTTTTCCTGACACCATCTTGCAACATTGTCCACAGGTTTCACGGCACTCGCGTCATCCACTTTTTAAGCCTGTATTTGTGCTCTTTTGTTCCTCACGTCAGGTCGGATGGATGCCCTTGCAACAGGTCCCAAGCGCGGTGTCGGTACGCATCATGAATAGACCAGTAGGAATGGGCTTTCAATGAATAGCTTATTCACGGGAGTGGGGTTTCACAAAATGGAGTCGGGTGAAGGGCTAAGCGGGGGAAATGGTTAAACATACCTCAAAATACACTAAAAAAGCACTTATACCCAGACCTGGCCTACGCTTTGCTGTTATTTGTATCCCATTTATCTGACTGATTGAATAGGAAAGTACGGCCCCGGTAGAATAAATATCTTCCAAGCGCGGTGTCAGAGACTGTGCGAACAACGCACTACTTTTTGTGACAGCTCGAGCATGGGCCAAAGATGACGATGAGCCAGATCCGTGAATTTGCTTCAACATTTGTTCAATCCACACAACTGTGCGTTTGGTTTCGGCCGGGCCCTTTCGGACACTTTCTGGTGGTTTAGAGCAGAGCTAACACCACGGTAACAACGCAAGCGGGTCAAATCAAGCAGGCATATGCAGCCCTGCCCAGTTCAGCAGGCATATGTAGATAATGGCGTGGTACGCCAGAGTTCAGCGTGGGAGGCCTGGGGCGAAACCATCTAGTAGTTCAGACTTTCGCCTCCTACGTGAAAGTTCCGAGCTTTAAAGGGAGTGTTCCACATTTATATGGGGTTTTGAACTGAAAGAGACATTTTAAAGACATTTCGGTGCTGTTCACAATCCTTCCGTTCTTAAAACCCAAACCCCTCAAGTTTCTGAGCTACGCGCCCGTGAAAATGGGGAAGGTATATAGGGGAGAATATTTCAGTCACCACGGCATTCATGACGCCATAATAACGTCGTTCATATCCTGCCATTCCGTAAGCCATGCAGCGTTCAAGGCCAAGAAAAATCCACTTGTCGGGGCGTTCATATCTAGTCATATCGTTTGTGAGCGCGATTCCCAGATACAACACCTTGGCTTGTGCTTGGTTAATTAGCTCTCAGTCAATGCTGTGCAAGGTACGATGACGTAATCAACATATGACGCATTGGGGAGCATGTTAACTGAGCTGAAAATTACTCCGTCTAGTGCAGTCTTTTCCACTTAAAAAGCATACCAATGACTCTAAGTTAGCTTGATCCATCATATCTGATATTTGGCTAATCGGCATGCTTCAATATCTTCAAATGTGAATCTTTCCTTTCATTTTCTGGCACTGAGGCCCTGGGCGCTACATGACCACCTCAGTCGATACCATTTAACAAAACCTCACGATTGGTGACGACCTGAAGCACATCTCTTTGAAAAAGCGGAAGGCTCAGGTGCTGCTGGCAACTCACCATGGCATCATATTGCACCCGGTTGATCATGTCCGCAGCCACGTGCCACTTGAACATCGTGTAGTATTTATGACCTTGAAAGATGTCGCCACCGTAGAGCATCAGAGTGTGCGGCACGTTCTGCTTGTAGGTGTTGACTGCGTGGACCAGCCTGCCTATGCCGCCGTAGCACTGGCCAGAGTCCTTACACTCTCCCGTGGTGGCGCTGACCGGGTCGAAATGCGCGTGAATGTCGTTGTTGTGGAGGATGGTGATGTCGAGCTCGCAGGTGACGAAGCAGGCCGCCAGGAGCAGCAGAAGAGCGCGCGATGGAAACATGACGGAGCCGTGATAGTGTGCTGGAAAGAGGAAACAAGCTCGGTTAAACAACAGTCAATGGATATCGGTTTGGAGCTGAAGCGTCAAGTGTAAGCTATCGATATCTAAAAGAAGTAAAAGTGGCATAACTTTGCTGTTAAAAGGAGCGGTGCAGCAATCATGAAGCACGGTGATGATTGCGTGCTGAAGGCGTGTGTGATCCTCTGCTTAGTTTATTAGGATAGGTACCCCTACCGTATCCGCCTGTGGTGCCGCGCTTGACTGCAAGGTAAAAACGTGGGTAAATATCGAAAAGACGGATAAAGCAAACCACTTCTTTCGTCGAATATCGTCACACATTACACAACAAAAACAACTTTGGACTTTCACGAAAAAGGACCACCGCGGCTTCCCAGCCAGCCCGCTACTGCTTCTGTCCCGCAAAAGGACCATCGCCAAGAAGGTCAAGACACCTGCAAAATGATGCCAACGATCTACATCACACCCTTCCCTGCCTCCCAAAGTCGCAGCCGGGATGTGAACGCGCGCGACCGATCGGCAGTCCCCTACCTCGCTGGGTTTCCAACCACGGCTCACACCTCTGATAGGAGCAGGATGCACGCGCCCGCCCCCACCTCCCCGGCCGGGCCTCTGACGGCGAGTGGCGGCTGTCGCCAGGGCCCTCCGCCGGCCAGCACGCCGACCCGACGGCCGGGCGCAACAGCATCTGCGCCGCTAAACGTGCGGCCCGAGCTGTGACGTCACAGGTGTTCTGCTGTCTCTGGCTAGAGCGCCATACATCATGTTGTCATACATGCGCACAGGCGACGGGTCTGCTGGAGCTCGTCGTTGCGCTGGTTTAGCCGCTTTCTCCGGCACCAGTTGGTGGAACCCCGTGCGGGCGGTTCTGCTTATGATGCTTATTATGTCGTCAAAAAGTGCAACTCAATTCTTTCCTGCTTGTGAAGAACTCGCCATCGCCTTACGCTCGAGGTTCGTTAACTCTCATCCAGCTTCATGTTTTCCCTCATCTTCTGTGCTGTCTCTCCGTCTGGGGTAGGGCTGAAGCGTGTCACCTAAACAGGGCCCAAGGGGTGATAAACTTTGGGCTCAGAATCGCCACCGATGCTCGTCGTGCGGGATTCAGTGGCGGCGACTGTTCAAGCGCTGGGCTGGCGCGGTGTTAGTGACCTTGCCACCCACAGCGACGGCCTCGCTGTATTCAGGACCTCTAATGACTCGCGGGCTCCGGTGGCGTTCAGGCCCCTATTCAGCCCACGTACTGCTGTATCACAGCGTGCCACCCGGGCGGTAGCGGCAGTCGCGCTTGATCTGCCAGCTCTGCGCCTGTCAGTGGCACGCGGGGCTTTTTCGTGTCGCGCGGCCTCGTCCTGGAGCCTTCTGCCGCCGATCATCGCCGCCTCTCGCACCCGCAACGAGTTTCGTACCAGGCTAGAGGATTTAGACGGTCCCGTTGTGTAATCATTGCTTGCTTACCGTTGTGCAACATGAGTTGACGATTTAGATTTTCATCATCTATTTTGTTTTTGACAAAGTTGTGTGGACGGCTGGATGGTTGTTAACGAATGTGACTGCGTTGTAATCATTTTTAACATTGCATCATGCTACTATTGCAATTATAACGAATCAAACAATAAGCCACCTGTTGGAATAATCCGTGAACACAGTGAACTGAAGTGAACTAAAACGACGTTATGGCGCTATGAAACAAGCCGCGCTCAACCTCAAGAGAGCGCTTCACTGCCACCTGACACCTGTGCCTCATCGTCTCTTGAGGACGAGCTAAACTAAAATATTGAGCATCACCAATGCAATCGTTGTTTAGCACTACACCGTCGCTTAAGCAGTACGTACTGTTATAATGAAGGTCGTTAACTCAGCATAAATTTTTTAACTCATCATTCCTTTATATAGCATTCCGTCGAATTTGCGTGACAATGGCCTGATCTTCGTGTGTCACTTTAGCTAAACAGAGTGAACCAAGCTGCCCTATCATTTGTCACACTAGCATGTTGACCAATATGTGTACTACGAACATTGCAAAACACACGTGCTGAGAAAAGCGACGCAAATGAAAAGCACGATGGTCATAGTAGTGGGCAGGGTGTTCGATCCAACAGCTCCAGGCCTTCCCCCTTCCCCCAAATTAGGCTCTAGTCGCCCCCCCCCCCCCCCTCAAGACAACAAGAGGAGAGAAGATGGGAGGAAAGTGGGCAAACCGGGAAAAATCTCATTGTTGGTGTACTTGGGGGGGGGGGGGGTAGTGTGCGCCATTTTCATCGTTGACTACCCCGACTGACTTGGCGAATCTGCGGGTTGTGAAATACGGATGAACGGAATCTTCGGATCGGATTGCGTTACGCGTGCTGGTTTCGCCTGCGGCAAGCTTCGTAGAAAAATTTCATAAAATGATAAGTTCACCCGACGCAAACAAGTATTTTCCCACGTGAGCCAAAGACAGGTCTGGGGAGAGAGTCATTTCTCCTGCCGCAAGCTATCAACGCCTTGCGCTACCATTGAGAGGTTACATTTGCCTTCGTTTCTCAGCTGGGAGTGCTGTGATTTAGTGTTGTGTTTTCCGGTGGTAAGATACGTTTTGCTGCGTCACTGGGATAGAGGAAGGGCAGTCTGGTTGTCATTCCTGGGTACAGCTTAGAGAGAACATGAAGCACAGATGTTGCCCAGTTCCTTATGTGTACGTGCTAAGTGACCAACACAAATCCCGCGGTAGGGATGCACTGATGGAAAATTCGTCGGAAGCACTGAACTAATGTTGTCGCACTCGGCACATGAGCAAAGAAATCCCGATTGTGCACGACTTGCTTTTATTTGTGCGGAATGGACATTTGAGGGGTAGCCTTGTCTAATTCCTCTTCACATGTTTTCCCCCGAGAAGCACATCCATGACAATCGAGAAAAACGATTTCGGTTACGATGCATTACGTGTAAGACAGCATGCGCCTAAATTCCGGGCTGTAGCTGTAAACCTCGCTTTGGATAAACATGTCATATATTAAATCAAATCCAGCCCCAAGATGGGCTACTCTGAGGGATCCTACTTCCCCTTCACTTTTCATTCATACGATGCGACGACCACATCAACTAACTTCTCACAAAAGCGCTTTGTGCATAGGCTAAATTACCATACATGGCGGTCGTCGGAAAAGTTTAGAAGTCAATGCTCGTCTGTCCGCCTTGTGCACCGAAGCTCGTGAGCGCGCGGCGCCAGAACACCGGCGGAACAGCTGTGGCGCCGGGGATGCCATCGGCCACTGGCGCGTGGCTGTTGTCGCGTGCCGTCAGCCGGGCCTCCGCAGAATGCACGTCATCCAACGTCACTGGCCCAAGGCCGCGGACAGCACGGCCTTATCACGGGGTGAGAGTTTTGTGGTCGGCAGCCGTGTGCCGTCAACGACGTGACCTGCAGGCGCGTGCAAAGTTTTGCACTCAGGGTGGTCAGGGTATCGGAAACAATGTGCTAGCCGAGTTCGGCGAATAGAGACTGCCGCCAGGACCACCGAGCAGTACCTAACTTGAGGTGCGCCGCGCCAGGATGCTGATGAGGTGTGCCGCGCAGGATGCTGGTAAGGTGTGCTGCACCAGGATGTGGGGTGTGCCGCCAGGATGATGGTGGGTGTGCCGCACCAGGATGCTGGTGAGGTGTGCTGCACCAGGATGCTGTGGGTGGTGCCTGCACCAGGATGCTGGTGGGTGTGCTGCACCAGGATGCTGGTAAGGTGTGCTGCACCAGGATGCTGGTGGGTGTGCCGCACCAGGATGCTGGTAAGGTGTGCTGCACCAGGATGCTGGTGGGTGTGCCGCACCAGGATGCTGGGTGGGTGTGCCGCACCAGGATGCTGGTAAGGTGCTGCACCAGGATGCTGGTGGGTGTGCCACACCAGGATGCTGGTGAGGTGTGCTGCACCAGGATGCTGGTGGGTGTGCCGCACCAGGATTGCGGGGGTGTGCCGCACCAGGATGCTGATGAGGTGTGCCGCACCAGGATGCTGGTGAGGTGTGCTGCACCAGGATGCTGGTGGGTGTGCTGCACCAGGATGCTGTGGGTGTGCTGCACCAGGATGCTGGTAAGGTGTGCTTGCACCAGGATGCTGGTGGGTGTGCCGCACCAGGATGCTGGTGAGGCGTGCTGTGTCAGATGCTGGTGAGGTGTGCCACCCCAGAATGCTGGTGAGGGTGTGCCGCCCCAGGATGCTGGTGGGTGTTCCGCGCCAGGATGCTGGTGGGTGTGCGCACCTGGATGCTGGTGAGGTGTGCCGCACCAGGATACTAATGAGGTGCGAGTGCTCAACTTTCCTAGCAACTCCCGGAACCCATTTGCAGAAGCTGAGAATGTTCAAGTTTGGTGCCGTCGGGGGCTTCGATAGACACTGGTGTCTGGGGTGATCGGTTTCGATCGACTGCAGCTGGTATCAACGACGACACAGTGGACGTGGTCATTGGAGTATAAGCACAGAGCAGGAGGTACACAGAGTGGGTCGCTTTGAGCTCACGAGACATGAATGGGCCGTTTGGGTCGATGGCGGTAATGAAGAAGCTGCAAAGATGTCCTCCATTACCACGAGGACATCCGTAAGTTCGTCGTCTGCCTTTGTTGCTGCACACAAGCTGACCTCTTCTTGGAGTGGTTCCAGCAACTTGGCGCTGCATCCCGCACTGCAATTGCATCAGGGGGCCTGCTCTGCGGGACAATTCAAAGAAGAATTATCTTATTCAAGACTGACAGCATCTGGCCGCCTCACTGGCTGGGTCACGCCCTGTGAACTCTTTTGTGTGGGGGTCACGCGAGAAACCAGGCTTTCAAAACAAAACCAAGGACAGTGCAGGACCTGCGGCGGCTGTGGCGGCGGCCATGCCATCCATCTCCGATGAAACCTGCCAGCATGTTGTTAAAAAGCTCCCCAGAGGATCGAGACAGCCCTGCAGGATCGGTGCGTCGCATGTGGTGGAAGCATGATAGCCGACTAGCTCTGTGTTACTGACAGCTATTATTGCTCGTTTGCACGTGACAGTATGTAAAGCATCCCACGATATGTCCATTTAAAACGTCCGCGCTTTTTGGCTGCAATGACGGGTTGTAAATGGTATGAAGTGAACATCTGATTCGTGCGAATTTGAAAGCGTTTTTTTTTTCATTTTCGGTGCACCCGTATATTTCCAGCTGAAGCGGAGCGATGATTTGAAATTGGTATATTTGGACAATACGTCTGTGGTGTCTGTTGGGGCAAACATGTCCTGCACCGTTACGTACCATCAGAGGTCACGGAGAGGTGGACGGAGAGCCTCCGCCGGGTCTCCACTCGGACCGGCCAGCAGTCGTGTGCCTGAGTCTCCGCTCGGGCCGACCTGGGCGGCCGCGTCTGGGGTCTGCGCTCAGGCCGACCGGGTCAGTCGGCATCTGGGTTTCCGCTCGGGCCGACCGGGCAGTCGTGCCCGGGTCTCCGCTCGGGCCGACCGGGCAGTAACGCCGGGTCTCCGCTCGGGCCGACCGGGCAGCCGCGTCTGGGTCTGCGCTCAGGCCGACCGGGCAGTCGCGTCTGGGCCTCCGCTCGGGCCGACCGGGCAGCGGCGCCTGGGTCTCCGCGTAATACACGCCGTGCAGCGACGTCTGGGTATCCGTCTTATGCACGTCGGCAGCGGTGTTTGGGTATCCGCCTTATACACGTCGGGCAGCGGTGTTTAGGTCTCCGCCTAACACGCATCGTGCAGCGACACAGACCTCGCAGTGGTAACGAGAGGAAACGCGGCCATTATGGAGGATGACGTTCAACTGTGTGTCTTCCAGCGGCATTAGTGCGGATTGCAGGCGTAGTGCGGTATGTGGCGAGTGCTCGCTGGCAAGAGTGCGCCTAACGTTTTCAGTTCTCCTGCATTGTTTAAAACATGGCGAATGGTACGAGACGTAAAAATGCCTTGCTGCTAGTATCCGGACGAAAAACGTACTGAACTATCAGAGCTGCTTGGAGACATATATCGTGCGCGCTATGATGCCCCGAAGCGCTCGGTGCTACTGAATCGTCTGAAGCTCAGTCAGTGTGGTCAGGATTGTGGTCGGCCGACTGCCGAATTTAAAGTTACGCTGAAGAATGTTGCCAAACAAAGGTCGCTTTAGACCTTGTCGAGATTTGACCGCCTTAAATCCGGCTTACACGATAGGATCAAAACCAAACAGTGCAGACAAATATAGCAGCATCAGAATGTCACATCATCTCTCGACCCATGTTCAAAGTTTGTGGGAAAGAACTCACCCGTGCTAACCACCTTGACAAAGCAACATGACGTCCAACAGCTGTAGTTCGTGGCTTGCATTCCATGTGCAGCACTCAGCTGGAGACGAAAGAGAGACGCACTACAATGGTATGTGTTAGTGAGGGGGAAAACTCATCTGATCGCTCGCCTCTCCGCCGCTGATGCTTTCTTCAGGCGAGACTCCGAGGTTCATGCGCTCCGGTCCCTCACCAAGGACCGTTGCTCCACCGCGATACCTGCCGGAGCAGCTTCACAGCTTCCCGGGCGGCCGGTGCGCCGCTGTCCGCTTACCGGGCGGCCGGCGCGCCGCTGTCCGCTTA